AAGTGGAGACAACAGCTTGTGGATGACCCCTTCTCCTCGCTATAGGGAGGAATGTTCACCTATCTTGTGCCCCTATTGGGACCCCTCTTCTCACTCCTACTGTTGCTCATGATAGGACCTTGTATTTTTCAAAAACTTACAGCATTCATCAGCTCACGTTTAGATGCCTTTGCTGCAAAGCCTATTCAAAGATATTATCATCAGCTGAAAATGGCAGATCAACAAGCGTATCGTGAGAGGGTTCCTTCAAATGGACCCTATCATGATGTGGCCTAATCTGATGTAGGCCCCCTGGTGAGATGGACAAGTAGTCAATGACGGGCAACTAGGACCCACATGTAGTACCACCGACCACCTAAGACAGGAACAGGGCCTACTGCTGCCCTGCGATCCCAAGATGGGTAAGGTCTGGTCGATCTCATGTGAAGGAGTCCTTGACCCAAGCCAGGCATTGTGCCCACAGGGCACTGTCAATTTCCGCTTGATGTATTTAATAAAAAGGGGGGATATGTGGGGGGGGCGATAGAACACTCCTGTTATATTTTCCCTTATTTGGGCAAGAAGTGCTGCAGCACCAATCCCACATCTTCCTGTGGTCCTGGACCTCCACTACCAATCCACAACTAGTCCCACCCAACTGCTTCCACTATACAGCTATTTAGACCCCGCTCACGTCCTCAATAAATGAGACTTGATCAGAAAGCCTGTCTTGTCTCCGTCTCTTGTGTCTCTTGCCCTGTCTTGTTCATCCCCGTTCCTCCTCCAGGTCATTACCCCACGTATCGACTCGCGGGCCAAGTCAATTTAGGGAGATCCTGTTTTAAAGCACAAAACTAAAAAGGGCTAAAGATATAGCTCAGTGGTAGAGTACTTGCTTCACATGCATGTGCACTGTATTCAAGTATAAAAAAAATAGTTCTCAGAAAAGTATAGCTCTTCTTTCATCATACACACAAAAAAATAGAGGTAGGCTGAAATGTGGAAACTGAATTCACACCAACTGACACTCCACATTCTGAGTGAGACATAAAAACATACCAGTCTCTCCACATGCTAATGGAATTCCTACCCATGTGTGGTTTTGTAACCTGTGCCTTCCTCACTGCTGATGGTCAATAATAATGCAAATTTTCAGGACATTAACAATTTGTCATTCATTTGTTAAAAGTTACCAGTGTCATCACAACAATCTTCAAGTATTTGGAAGGTTTTTAACACACAATGATGGGTAACAGTTTCTACAATTCTGAGTTTTACTTGAAACTTTACACTTCATTACTGGCCATGGAAGTGGCAGGTTCACTTGGCTTATTTTTGAGAGTATCTGCCAGTCACTCACACCTGAAGAGCTGTAGGGACTCCCATACTTTCTGCGCATGATTCTCCCTGCAAACCCATTCATGCTTCAGCAGAATGACTTCTGAGTGCTTCCCACCACAAAGAATTCTCCAAACACATACACTTGGTCTAGATTTAATAAATTTTTTTTTCTTATTCATCTAGGATGTTTTTAGGTGAAAGTGGCATTGTGTTTCAGATGAGCACTGGCAATAGCAACAATAAGGTCTTAGTTTGGTAACAATCAGAAAGACAAAACATCCTAGTATTGCAAAAGTAGTGAATTGTATTATTTCTCTTTTTTTGCAATACCAGAAACTAAACATGGGCTCCCTACCACTGAACTATACCTCCACTTTTTCTCCCCCCATACCTCCACTTTAAATTAAGTAATTAATTTATTTTTCTTCTGGTTTTTTACTATAATAAAGACTGAACCCAGGGTCACATGCATGCTACAAGTACTCCACTCCTGAGCTACCTTCTAACTCATGTTTTAAATTTTCAGATAATCTTACTAAGTTGCTAGTACTAGTCTCAAATTTATAATCATCCCATCTCACCCTCCCAAATAGCTGGGATTACAGGTAAGGGCCAACATTCCTGGCTAGGCAAAAATAATTAACTTTATATAGCCCCTGTAAATCCCTGTTAAACTTTGGGGAAAACTGACTAGATTGTATCTTATATGAAAATGCAAATTATGCTTTCAAATTCAAGAAAATGCTCCCAAAACTTCCCTTAAACACAACATCCTTAATGAGAAAAAATTTAAGTGTTTCTACAAGTAATACAGCTGGGCAATCTGAGGTGCAAAGAGGAAGCAAGTACATGTAGAAAACAAATGCCATCACCTCATGTATGCGGCACTCTTCTGCAGGGTGGCCTCTGTGTGCTTATTCTGGTCAGCAGAGAGACTTGTCTTCCAGTATACACGGCAGGCTGAGAAGTCTGAAGTCAGAGACACCTGAGACCCACACCCCAACAAGTTATTTATTTCACAAGAGTTTTAACAAAGGCAACATTCTCAAAGTAAAAAGCACAGCTTCCAAAGTGTTTCTCTTATCCTGAAACTCACTGCTCCCACAGCACCCTGACAGAGTCCACCACTACTGCTGCAGAAGATCAACAGCTGGCCACAGAAACAAAACTCACCTCCCTATCTTCCCCAGGTCCTGACACCACTTGGATAACCTCTACCCAAACCCACAGCACTTGCTTCACAGCCATTTGCTGAAATACTCACTGAAAACACCCAGTAAGTGTTTATTGTTCTTTTGGCTCAATTTCCTCTGAGAAGGCTAGAAGATGCTCCTTAGTTTTTTGTTTTGTTTTTGCAGTGCTGGAGATTAAAGCCAGGGACCTTTCACTAAGACACATTCCAGGTCTTTTTCACTTGGAGATAGTGTCTTGCTAAGTTGCCCAGGCTGAGTTCAAATTTGTCAACCTCCTACTTTAGACAAGGATCGCATGCTCTTTGTCTTTATGCCAAAATAATGGCAGGTATGTCCAGACCTCAGAGCATCCTTGGACCATTTATTCACATTGGCTGGGTGACTGACAATAACCCATGGGCTCACTGACCACAGGCTGTTTGGTCATCAGAGTGCAGGTAAATGAGCTAGCTGGCTTTGGACTACAGCAGGTAACCCCTGTCCCAAGGTACCAGACGCAGTACCATCTCTACTGCCCCAAACCAAGATCATAGGAATGAGAAGTCAGGTAAGACTGCCATCCTCAGTTGTCAGGTAAGACTTCCATTTCTACCCTTCTGGCCCTGAACTCTACCTTGGAGAGCTCCACATTCAGGTCATAGACTTCCTGGCTCACTTCTGGGGTGGACAGCAAATCCGTTAGGGCTTTGTAGAGGAGGCCGTTCAGGGCTCTAATGCGCACATGGTCTCCCTTCCTGGTCTTCTTGGAGGTAGCTTTCAGGAGGGAATCCAACTTGGATGGCTTGTAAGTCTCCATTAAGAGGAAAAGGAAGAGCAAACAAGAAACAAGGGCAGCATTAATAACTGCCACTGATTTATACTCCACTGACTTACTACTGATAAAGGCTCATCAAAACCAGATAGATAACATCTCTTTGGAGCTGTGATGACTGTCTCATAGAACTGGATCCTTCAAGATTTCACCAACCAGCCCTCCAAGGTTAGTACTGCCAGTTTAGCCTCCTGGTCTCCTTCCAAAAATTAATTTTTGAGATATAACTCACATACCATAAAATTTACCCTGTTAAAATGTATGGCTTGATATTTTTAGTAAACACAATGTTTTTTCTAACTGGAAACATTTATCATATAAATGTCTACAGTACATACTCACACATTAAAAACTGAATGGATATTAAAGTATTAAAATTTGATTAGACACTCTAGAAAACTTTAGAGTTGGTAAACTCTACTCATCAATGGCTAAAATTCACAGTTCCAGTGTTATCTATTCCCACCCACACAGATAATCCCCTCCATAACAGAAGTATAAAGTCAGGCAAAAGCTTTGCCAAGTTTTAAGCCTTGCTTCCACCATAACTATAAATACCACTGCTGTTGCTCAATGCTTACCAAGTGAGATCCCAGGGAAGGTCCTTCATACCAAAACTTCTTCCTATGGGGAGAAAACAAAAATTATGTTGGAACAAATGGCAAATTAAAGAAGAAAGAGTTACATAAAATACCTTAAGAAGCTATGACAACACAATTATATGGAGTTAACTTGCGACACAGAAAGCATACTAACAGAGATCTAAGAAATGGGCAACTCAGGAAGACACTGTCTAAAAAAATAAAAATGGGACCAGGGATGTATTTAATATGAAAGCTTTGAGTTCAATCCCCAGTATCAAAAACAAAAGGATGTGAAAGTATTTCTCTCACTGAAGTCTTTCCAACACAGAAAGGTATTATAAAACAACTTAAGAGAAATATCTCTAATTTACAAAGCAAAAATGATAGCCCTCTTTGGTTTGAATTATTGATTACCAACATCTAACTTTTATTGTATGTTGACTGTTGTATTTTTTCCCGTTTTTAAATTTCTTTGTTCATCTTCATTTGATTGATTTAGAAATAAATTTTATTTCTGAAGAGAATACTATTATATTCATTGTAAAAAAAATTGGGATGATGAAATAGTATAAATGAAATAAAATTCCTAATATTAGCATCATTCATTTCTGATGAATGCCATTAAATTAGTGAATATTAAAAAAAAAAAAAAGGAAACAAAACAAAGACATATCCTGAGTGGCACGTAGGCACAATGCTTAACTGACCAAGGGTTTCCCATGAAGTTATAGACAGACAGTTCTAATACACAGCTATACATCTACCCTGTGACTGAACAATTACGTAGATGACAGGAAGAGCCATACTTCTTACTGTTGAAGAGAGTTACAGACAAACAAGGCAAAGAGGCTAAACAATCCATGTGGTAATGAGTGGAAAACAGACGGTAGTAAACAAAAATGTTTGTTATAGGTGAGTATGCATACTAAGGTGCTCAAAAAGGTGCTATTGTTTGTTTTTTTCAGCTGAGAGAGCCCAACAGACACCTCTGTGGAATAAGCATACCTGATACCCAAATCACTGCTTCACAACACCACTTTCCAATAACCAGGCTCCCAGGAGAAATGGCTGACTGTAAGACTGAGACAGGAATATACAAGATGAAACCCAAATATCGTACATGCCAGAAAATAAGTGCCAAATATGTGCACACACCAACATGCACAGCAAAACCCCACATGATGAGATATGTCACAGGGACAGAGGAGCTGAGAAGGTTCCCAATGGCCTAAAACGAGCACGATAAAAATGAATTATAATCCATGAGTCCATATTGTGAATTAACAAGTAGGAAAGAGAAGGTGCATCTCCACGCAAAATTCTAAATTATTCATGATCATCACTAACCACTCCTTAGCAAAGTCTATACATAGGGACTTTCTCCCAAAGAGAAAAGTACAGAAAGGATGAAAAGGGAGGGTAGTGAATGCCTGTAATCCCAGCACTCTGGGAGGCTGAGGGAGGGGACTGAAAGTTCAAGTATAAGTGACTTAATGAGATCTTGTCTCAAAACAAAAAAATAAAAAGGGGAGGGATGTAGCTCACTGCCAAGAGCTTGGATTCAATCTCAAACACCACTACATACACACACACACGTGCGCCCAAAAAAAGATACTTCACAAAATGGCACAAACATAGACATAATGAGTCACTGTACAGTGGAAACTCCTAATAAATTCATCCCAGTCGGGTGATCAATGGACTCAACAGTGATAGCTCTATAGACCGTATACACCCTTGACATGATGTGATGAAAATGGTGCTTTATCTCTGTAGGGTTTCTTCAAAAAAATCTATAGTTTCCAATCATTGAAAACATCAGGCAAACTCCGAGAAGGCATCCTACAAAATGCCTAGCCAGTACTGCTCAAAACTGTCAAGCCATTACCAAAAACAGGGAAAGCATACAATGTTGTTAGGCTAAAGGAGCCTGAGAAGACAAGATAACAGAAAGTAACGTGGCTCCTTGATGGGTTTGTGGACAGGAAAAGGATGTTAGGGAAGAACTAAGGATATGTGAACAAAATTAAGGGCTTCAGTTAATGATGATGCATCAGTATCAGTTCTTTTTTTTAAATTCTTCTTAAAGTTTTTGACAGGGCCTTGCTCTGTAATTCTGGCTGGCCTTGAACTTGCTATGTAGCCCAGCCCGGCCCTGAACTCTCGGGAATCCTTTTGCCTCCACCACCTGAGTGCTAGGATTACAGGCATGCACCACTGTGACTGGCTCAATATCAATTCATTAACTAACAGATGTGCAATACTAATTTAAAGCATTAATAGAAGGAAACCGAAGGTCCCCAATAGGAAACTTGGTGTATCTTTACAAATTTTCTGTACACCTAAAAGCATTTTTTAAAGTTTCTGAATTCAACCATAAAAATCTACATCAACGTACATGTTTTACAATTACAAAAACTGACGACAAACTTAATTCGCCAAATTAGGCCACATAAAGTCAACATTCATGCAGAAAGAAAATTCTTTTATTTCTTTTCCTCTTTGAAGAAATTACTCTCCAGAAAAAGGAAAGTTTTTGGTGACTAGAATCAAAATAAATGGACATATCGTATCACCTTGCTTTTTTCCCCCTCCTATACGCGTTCCTGTGTAATATAAAATTTTAGGTGGTAACTTTTTTTTTTTGGTACGAGGGATCAAACTCAGGTCCTTGCACTTGCCAGACAGGCGCTTTTGCCGCTGAGCTAACTCCCGGCCCCAATACAAAATCTTAGGAGACCTAAAATAAATATATAAAATAAAAGGACTGTGTGAAAACACGGCAGCTCCAAATGAAGGGTCAGGGGTGATCTATACACGGACACTGGTCCCCGCGGAGACGCCCCAGCCCCTCAGGAATGCACTGCCTAAAAACAGGGCCCAGGCATACCTAGTTTTGGAAGCAAATTTCTTGAGCAAGTTCTTGCTGCCACAGGAAGCCGCGGAGCCACGCAGGGCTCGCACATGGCCCAGAAGGTGCACACCATCGCCGCTACCCCACAGCGCGCACAACCCGGAGCAAGGGCCCCACAACCGACCGGCCACAGCCCACATGCTGCCGCGAACTCAGAACACAGACGCGCGGGGCGTGATGGGACGCGTAGGCGGAGCAAATCGGGCTTGTGGGCGGGGCCACGACAGGCAAGTAGGAGGAGAAACCTGCAAGGCACTTGCCGGCTGGGGGCGGGCCGGCTGGGGGCGGGCCGGCTGGGGGCGGGCCGGCTGGGGGCGGGCCGGCTGGGGGCGGGCAGATACATGGGTGGACTGATCCGTGACTGGAAGAGGTATATGTGAGCGGGATCGGGACAGTCCGACTGGAGCCTGTCCTGCAGGGCTGGTGCCTGTCTGGGACTCAGCTTGAAAACTAGCGGTTTCCTTTGACTGCAAAGCGAGAAACACAGCTTTATAGCACAGAGAAACAATGATAAATACTGAGCATTTCAGCAAAGCAGAAAGAAAGAATCGTTTGTGGAGGGTTTGAATCACATGTGAAGAGCTCTGTCTACCCCCATGTAAACATTGCCCAGTATGCACATGCATTTTGAAGCGTTACATGGTGCCCATAACACGTCGTGCACTTCCTATATGTCAAGGTTGAAAATAAATTTTAAAGTACTCTTAGGAAAGTGGGAAACTATAAGAAACTTCCACTGCACAAAAGCAGAGTGTGTTGAGCATTTTGTCTCAGTGACAAGTGACTAAGAGCCTAGGGCCTGTCAGGCTTCGAAGGACCTGTTGTTTTCCCTATTCTTACTGCCAATTTTTCTACTCCTGACATCATTTTCTTTTCCCGTTATACTCATTCCAACAGAGTTATATCCATCCCAAATACATAATTGTCAAAATCTAAAACTATTCTACAACTCTTCCGGCTGAAGCAAGTAGCAGGACCTTGTCCAAGCTGGCTGTGGGGCTGGACACTGCATGTGGTGTGTTGGCCACCGTCACAGCACAGCTGGCAGTGAGTAGCTTGTCCAGGTAATCCAGGCCTACTCCTGAGCTTCAAGGAAGGGAGCTCAAGAGCAGCTGAAAATCTGCCCTGACTCATCTGCACTCCAGCCATATTTGCTCATGCACATCTTCAGCTGGCTGTCTGACAGACCCCAAGAATCTCAGCCAGCAGCCAGTGTGCTAGTACGTGATGCCCATGATGTGGCGGATAAATTTTCAGGCAGTCTTCAAAGCCAGTTATACCTTCCAGGAGGTGCATGTTTTGATCCAGAAGATCTGGAAGTGATAGGTCTCCAGCAAGTCCCCCAGATACAGAATCTGATGAATAGGTCACTTGATGTGCCTGGTTAATCATGCATTTGAACAGGGTGAAGTTGGTGTGGGGCAGTTTGTTGAGGGCTTTCAGCAGGATCAGGGCAGTAACTTGTGTTCAGAAAGAAGGCTGGGTTATAAGGAGAGTCACATGGAGAGAAAACATTCTCTCAGACTTCCACAGAGAGCAAATTGGTCAAGCAATGGCTATGACTCATCCACATGGCTGACACTGACAACGGATCTACAAACAGCGCTCCAGGATAAATCCTGAGGGGATTTGACTGACCTTCTCAGATACAGAAGTTCCATTTCTTGTTATATAGGTCTTGCTTTATCTTGGTCTTAACCACCCACCAGAAAAGTATACAAACGAGGTATAAAAAGTAAAGCCATATTAATATGCTGAGCTGTAAAATGCTCAAGTCAACAACTTCTGACATTGCCAGTTCTTCAGATAACCCACTACTGTTATGGACTACTGGAGTATGTTGGAGTAGTTTGCTTAATTCAAGCACCTACAATATTTAAATGGCAATGGAATACCCATGTCTGACAAAACTAAACAAAAAAGGGGGATACAAATGAAGGACCATTTTGTATCTGTACATACAAAATAGGATAGATATACCACTACTTTCTCTTGATTCAGTGAGAAGAGAGATTTGTACTAATAGTGTTTGAACAGGATATCATGTCTGCATCTTGTACCATGAATACTACAACGACAACAATATGCAATATATTAATTATTGTAACCGTCCTACTAACCTGTTTTGAAACTGTCTCATTGCTATTTGTTTCTCAATGAAATTAACTTAAAAAATAAAATAAAATAAAATTACCTTTGTTGACACTGCCTTCAACAAATTTGTGACTGTACATTGGGAAGTTTCTTCATTTATAGCCCCTGGAAAATTGAACCTAAGAAGCAAAATAAACTTTCAATAGCTTTTTTCAAAGGAAAGTCAGATACATGGTTATACAGCATTTTGGGAAGGGATTCTCAATCCAACAAGAGAGGATGTGGAACCATTCACTGACCTGTGTGTCCAAGTACCTCAGCTTCAGTCTCATTAGGCATCACCTTCTTAAGGAGGGGATATTATGGATTATACCTAGGTATCTCCAAACACCTCATGCATTTGTAGGTCATAGTAGGGCTTTCGGTAAGTGATTGGACCATGAGGGGCTGATACTTCATCAATGGATTAGTTCACTGACGAGCATGTAGCTAATGTGATTTTAGGGGGTGAAGCCTGATCAGAGAAGATGGTTCCCTAGGGGGTGACCTCAGATGGTGATCTTCCTCCCTGCTCCCTTGACTCCTTTTGCACCCTACCACCAAGCTTTGAGTGTTTCTCCTTTGCCATGCCTTCTGCCATGTCACTTTACCTTGAAAACAGCCAACTTCTCTACAAACTATGTAGAGAAATAAACCTCTCTTCCTTTAACTCATGTGTGTTCGGAATTCTGTCCCAGCAACAAGAAAGTAACTAAGACGGGGGCATCTAATTAAAGCAAGGGAGCACCTAGGTAAAGTACAAAGAACTGAGTGAAGTCAAGAAGGAAGAGGGGGGAAGTAAAGAATGTATTTTAACAATTAACAAGAAACTTAAGAACCATTAAAGAAGTCATTAAAATTCTAGTTAATTTTGGAGTGAGAAATACCAAAGATAGGTTAAAAAGATAAAAGAACTGAGCCAGAGGGGAAGAGAAAAATCACACATAAATCCAGGTTAAATGAGCTGCTTCATCTGGAGACTCCCTTTTCTCTTATTTAAGAAGGAGACAACAAATCTGCCTTGCACTGTGGTTATTATTATTATTATTAT